CCAAAACGCTCGCTGCAGACAAACTACATGTCCTATTTGAAAAAAGTCTGGACCATGAGTGAGGGCACAAACACAGCTAGTATATATCCAAATGGCAAGTTGCTCCTCCTTTCGGTTTTGCAGAGAGAGCGATGCGTTTGAGCCATTGAGCGATGGGCAGGAAAAACTTGACTTTTTCTCCTGCCATGGGGGGGCGCTCTTTTGGGGAGAAAAAATTCCTTCACAAATGTGTTGATGGCTGGACATTGCATCATCCTAGAAAACTTGGAGGCCAGTGAGGACAAAAATAAAAAGTTATAAGACTTTTAAAAATGTGGATTTCTGGGTTATCTTTGGCGCCCCCTAGAACGTAAACTGTGGGGTGCAGCATCATGATTTGTACAACTTTGAATGGCCATGGGGTGTAGATTGACCTGAGCAAATTTGAAGCCGATGGGACAAAAGATTTAGGAGGAGTTAGCGAAATTCCAATGTGTGCGGATCGGCAAAAAATGCGAAATAACCCTTTAACCGTACATTTGACAGATACGCCCGCACTGACTTTTTTGTAGATCTTATTGAGATACATGTGTGTGTCAAATTTTGTGTCATTTTGACAAAGCGTAAAGGCGTGACAGTCAACAATGTGTATTTTCGCCTTAGGAGACAAGAAAAAATGGACTTTTTTCTCCTGCCATGGGGGGGCGCTCTTTTGGGGAGTAAAAATTCCTTCACAAATGTGTTGATGGCTGGACATTGCATCATCCTAGAAAACTTGGAGGCCAGTGAGGACAAAAATAAAAAGTTATAAGACTTTTAAAAATGTGGATATTTGGGTCCTCTTTGGCGCCCCCTAGAACGTAAACCGTGGGGTGCAGCGTCATGATTTGTACAACTTTTAATGGCCATGGGGTGTAGATTGGCCTCAGCAAATTTGGTGCCTTTGGAACGAAAGCCTTCGGAGGAGTTAGCGAAATTCCAATGTGTGCGGATCGGCAAAAAATGCGAAATAACCCTTTAACCGTACATTTGACAGATACGCCCGCACTGACTTTTTTGTAGATCTTATTGAGATACATGTGTGTGTCAATTTTTGTGTCAATATGACAAAGCGTAAAGGCGTGACAGTCAATAGTGTGAATTTTCGCCTTAGGAGACAAGAAAAAATGGACTTTTTTCTCCTGCCATGGGGGGGCGCTCTTTTGGGGAGTAAAAATTCCTTCACAAATGTGTTGATGGCTGGACATTGCATCATCCTAGAAAACTTGGAGGCCAGTGAGGACAAAAATAAAAAGTTATACGACTTTTAAGAATGTGGATTTCTGGGTTATCTTTGGCGCCCCCTAGAACGTAAACCGTGGGATGCAGCGTCATGATTTGTACAACTTTTAATGGCCATGGGGTGTAGATTGGCCTGAGCAAATTTGGTGCCGGTGGAACGAAAGCCTTCGGAGGAGTTAGCGAAATTCCAATGTGTGCGGATCGGCAAAAAATGCGAAATAACCCTTTAACCGTACATTTGACAGATACGCCCGCACTGACTTTTTTGTAGATCTTATTGAGATACATGTATGTGTCAAATTTTGTGTCATTTTGACAAAGCGTAAAGGCGTGACAGTCAACAATGTGTATTTTCGCCTTAGGAGACAAGAAAAAATGGACTTTTTTCTCCTGCCATGGGGGGGCGCTCTTATGGGGAGTAAAAATTCCTTCACAAATGTGTTGATGGCTGGACATTGCATCATCCTAGAAAACTTGGAGGCCAGTGAGGACAAAAATAAAAAGTTATAAGACTTTTAAAAATGTGGATATTTGGGTCCTCTTTGGCGCCCCCTAGAACGTAAACCGTGGGGTGCAGCGTCATGATTTGTACAACTTTTAATGGCCATGGGGTGTAGATTGGCCTCAGCAAATTTGGTGCCTTTGGAACGAAAGCCTTCGGAGGAGTTAGCGAAATTCCAATGTGTGCGGATCGGCAAAAAATGCGAAATAACCCTTTAACCGTACATTTGACAGATACGCCCGCAATGACTTTTTTGTAGATCTTATTGAGATACATGTGTGTGTCAATTTTTGTGTCAATATGACAAAGCGTAAAGGCGTGACAGTCAATAGTGTGAATTTTCGCCTTAGGAGACAAGAAAAAATGGACTTTTTTCTCCTGCCATGGGGGGGCGCTCTTTTGGGGAGTAAAAATTCCTTCACAAATGTGTTGATGGCTGGACATTGCATCATCCTAGAAAACTTGGAGGCCAGTGAGGACAAAAATAAAAAGTTATACGACTTTTAAGAATGTGGATTTCTGGGTTATCTTTGGCGCCCCCTAGAACGTAAACCGTGGGATGCAGCGTCATGATTTGTACAACTTTTAATGGCCATGGGGTGTAGATTGGCCTGAGCAAATTTGGTGCCGGTGGAACGAAAGCCTTCGGAGGAGTTAGCGAAATTCCAATGTGTGCGGATCGGCAAAAAATGCGAAATAGCCCTTTCACCGTACATTTGACAGATACGCCCGCACTGACTTTTTTGTAGATCTTATTGAGATACACGTGTGTGTCAAATTTTGTGTCATTTTGACAAAGCGTACAGGCGTGACACTCAATCATGTGAATTTTTCACCTTAGGGGGCGCTATGGAGCCATTTTGCATTTGATTTTTTGGGCGACTTCAGAATATCGAATTTTTCACCAGGCCCGGTCGTCCTGCCAAATTTCATGACTTTTCACCAGTGGGAAGTGGGCCATTTTCCAGTTCAAAGGGGCAGAAAAATAATAAGAAGAAGAAGAAGAAAGAAGAATCCATCAGGAATAATAGGGCTCTCGCAGCTGCTTAGCAGCTACGCTCGGGCCCTAAAAAACCACTTGGGGAATAATAGGGCTCTCGCAGCTGCTTAGCAGCTACGCTCGGGCCCTAAAGAAAAACCACTTGGGGAATAATAGGGCCTACGCCCGGCTGCTCTGCAGCTGGCTCGGGCCCTAAAGAAGAAAGAAAAACCTATACAGGAATAATAGGGCTCTACGCCCGGCTGCTCTGCAGCTGGCTCGGGCCCTAAAGAAAGAAGAACCCATACAGGAATAATAGGGCTCTACGCCCGGCTGCTCTGCAGCTGGCTCGGGCCCTAACAAGTCCAGCAACAGCACAGTTTCGTCCGGTGTGGCTGCTGCGATCACGTCCACCTCCATCATGGTTCCCTTTGGTTTAGTCTTCATAGTCTTTGCTGTGCATTTCTACCGCTCACTGGTCAGCCACAAGACGGACAGACAGTTTCAGGAGCTGGAGGAGCTTTCTAATCTCACCAGGCTACAGAATGAGCTGGACAACAGGGGCGAATCTTCTATCCTGCAGTCTCCTAGCTCAAATTTCCCTTAGACAACAAGTATGTTGGACTCATGGTGGAACTTTGATTTCCTGAGATTTCTCTCAAGTTAGAAGCGGCATTTTGGCTTCTGTTTTTCCAGATGTATCACCTTTTTGTTGTGAAATTGTTCTTTTATGTAAAGAGTTGTATTTTTAGAACACGTTTGATAAACTGTGAACTCACAAATTTGCCATTACGCATGTAACTTAAATTTGAAGTCTTAACTGTGACAGCTGTTTGATTTCTCACTTAATTTATAGCACTCACAAAAAAAAAACATCTGAACAATAACTTGAATCCTGTCTGTTGCCTGCTATTTATTAACCTGTTTGTCTACTATAGTTTTTCTGTTGACACATAAATTACCTGGCTGTGCAAACAGAAAGTATTTAACCTCTTTTTGTTGACTATATACCTGGTTTATTGTAAAGTTCACTTCATGAATGTAAGGACTGCCATTTGTGTAGACTGATTGCCAAAACTCCAGTATTATTAAAGGATACATGCTGACATCTGTAGCACAAGCTTTGTTCCAAGAATGAACACTTTTCATTTTGTAAAGCATCCTGAAATATGTAAATGTATTCTCTATTTGTGCTATATATTTTTAATTTTTGACACAGGTTGGGCAAATCACACCTGGAATATTCAGTAAATGTGAAATTTTTTGTCTCATGAGCACATGAGACTGCTTGTACTTGTTAATAATCTACACCAGTGCTCTCGTGCTTTATTCTGTAAAGCCTTGGTACCCCCTTTGTTTTTCAAGCACTAAGTTAGCATGTCGTTTTTATCAGTCACTCTTGACACATGAAGTGCACTTAAGTAACAGTGATATTTCTTCAAGATTACCGTTACATAGTAGGATGTTTTGTTCTCACATATTTAGAGAGACGAGTCAGTCTGGGTTAGTAGCCTGTGCTGGAGGTGCATGTAGACTGTATGTAGATGATGTCCAGGAGTGGTTTTCAGTCAAAGTAATGGGAAGTTGTGGGGCAGATATGGCATTATAACTATTTAAAAAAACAGGGTTAAATCTCTTGGATTTCATAATGAAACAAAAAGAGTAACCATTACTGGTTTGTGTAAAAAGTCATCCCTGAATGGCACTCACTGTGAAGGGTTTTTCTATACCATCCTGTAAATTACACCTACTGACCCCTACAAAGCAGTTATAGCATTTTAATTATAGAAAATTTCTGACCTTTTGCGAATGAACTCGTTTGTTTTGGTTTAGGCATCACTATAAATTTTGTTCTGTTGAAATAGACATACTTGAAATTGAATCACAGGAACTTAAAACTTAGCTGCATGATCCATTTATACTGGCGTGTAACATGATGAGCTTTTGTACCCTTGCTCTGTTTGTAATGTAACAAAGCAGTGTCATTTTCATCAGGTTTTTCCTTATAAACATAATCTAATATTCAAGAAGCTTCACTAAGAGCTTTGGCAAACTATTCAATGATAATGAAATTTAGTGTAAACCTTTTATTGTCATGCAAGGTATTGTATTTAACCATCTTTTTGGCAGTAAACTAAATCAGTGTGATATTTCACTTATCTTTGTTTTTCAGTCCATTTCAAGTATTTCTCTGATTTTTTTTTCACTAATAACAAACAAGTGATTTAGCTGAAAATATTCAAATATGAACACACAAAATGAAATTATGCCAATTTTATTATTTGGCAGTAAATGTACGGCAGAGTGGAAACTTGCTATCGGTCTTCCTCTTGTCCCTCTTCAACTCTGGTAAGGTAGGCTGACTGGCCTTCCCTTAGAACCAATTGCATGTCGACCAGTTGAACCTTGAAAAACAAAGAAAAGCTTCATTTCTTCACAGTTACGCCAAGAGAAAGAGCTTTATTACAAATGTTTATTTGATTTGTCACACAAGGGCTGAATTGTAAACGGATCTGTGACTGTGTCATAATGAAAATTTTGTACCTGTGGGATTGGGTATCTTGTCGGTGCAGGTGCGTCATCTCTTCCAAAATCAGACAGAGTTCCACATTTTGCAACCCCATCCACCCAAAAACCTTCATAAAGTTGACCTTTGTCAGAATGATAGAATTTCCCGTTTCCATTTTTCAAGCCATTTTTCCAGGTGCCTTCATACCAGTTTCCATTCACTCAAGAAAGGAGAAAAGTCAAATGTTAGATCTACAAACATTGTCACACTCAATTTCTAATCCATTTTAACTGAAAATGTATGATAGCAAAGTCTGCTTACAAAATTGAATGATGCCTTTTCCATGATTCTTATCCTTCATCCACTCTCCCTCATAGATGTCTCCATTCTCATAGAACATTCTTCCCCAGCCACTCCGTTCGTCCTCACTCCACTCCCCCTCATAAACTGATGAGTGACTGAAGAAGTATGTCCCATACCCCTAGAGAGAAAGGTAATGATTAGCGATATATGACACAGGCAATGTAAGCTCAGACAACAGGCATTATTGATGTTACAGTGTATATAAATAATAGTATTTCAATACATGCTTCTTTCCATTCTTCCATTCCCCACAGTACTTTCTCAAGTACTCCTTCCTTTGAGGGAGAAGCACACTGTAGGTACCATATCCATCACGTTTTCCGAATTTACACTCTCCATCATAAATCATTCCAGACTCCTTCCAAACCTGAGTTCCCTTTCCTAAAAGACACATTAAAAGTGTAAATGTCATCCATTACATAGCAAGTACTTCACATGTTATAACTAGGTGACCAAAGGAGTTGTGGTGGAAGAAGCCGCTCACCATGCTTCTGGTTGTCTTTCCACTCTCCTGTATATTCATTTCCATTCACAAAGAACACAGTGTGCCGTAGTCCACATTTCCGTGACTTGATATCCAACAATGATGATCGTGTCTGGTTTTTTTGCAGCTGTTTTAAGATATGGCATGGCTGAGTGGAGATGAAAAACCCTAAAACATAAATGTCTGGTTATACTCATAAATCAGCAAAGCTGGTCCAGTTTTTCTTTTGACTGAACTATAACATAAAAAGGGAGAAAGAATGTTAAGAGGATGAGTTCACAATGCTGACGGTTATCTAATGATTTTTTTTTGCATCAAAATCAGACTTTGAATTTCAAAGCACGCATTATTTTTTTTCCACAATGATGATAAATTCGGTTTAAAAAAAACAGTCTCTCAAATTATTCGTGTAGTAAAAATTCGACCTAAAATAAAACTGTGTAAAAAAAAAATTCAACATAAAAAATTTTTCAGTGTCAAAAAATTTTGTGTAAAACAAACTGACTCAACATCCGCGTAATCAGGGAGAAGCAATCGATTTCTCAATCTTCCACTGGGGTCGGTGCCACATGACCAATCTAGCTTTAATTGATTAGCTGGACGATGGATGATTGAGCCAGGAATCGATTGCTCTCCCTGGTTACCTGGATGTTGAGTCAGTCTGTTTTACACTAAATTTTTTGACACAGAATTTTTTTTTACACGTTTTTTTAAGTCAAATTTTTACTCAACAAATTTTTTGAGGGACTGATTTTTTTTACACTGAATGCATATCATCATTGTGAAAAAAAGCGTCAGAAATAAAAATGCATGCTTGAAATTCAATAGTTTTGAAATTCAAAGTCTGATTTTGATGCAAAAAAAATCAGCTTTAGAAATTCAATTTCAAAATCAGATGGCACAGATTTACTTCCATAAAGAAGCATGCGTTTTGGTATCCAACACTTATTTAGTTTTTTAAAGATGGTGCAATTACAAAAGCTTCAAGGAAAACTACTTCTACAGAAAAATATGCAGTGAAAATTTGGAGTATACTGTGTTTACATTAGCAGCTTAGCTTAAAAGTCACTTTCCGTGCTGTAACATCAGCAAAATACCTTTAATACCCATTTAAAGCAACGTAAATATACCTTAACGACGTCCTCAAGCGAATTACTCACTTCAGCTAAATCGACGCGGGCTATGTAACAGAGGAATAAACTAAGATTACAAAAACAGCTCAAATCAATGTGGGTTAACAGCAGGTTTGAAAAATACATGATGTAAACAAACAACAAGAGAATATGGCATCAAAGGAACAATTCCGTGATGACATCATTATGACATCATCACGGCTTTCATCTCGTGTTACTAACTGGAAGTAGAGCAGCTGTCCAGGGTATCGTTTGAACCTTTCAGCGAGTAGCTACACTTAAAGAAAGAGACAATCGAAATCTTTTAGCAGCGGAACTCTGAGACTACAAACAGTCAAAGACAATGCAGCGACCAACAAACCGACCCAGGATTAACAGGCCCTTCTACTTGAGGGACAGAGAGATGGAGACACTCCGCAGGACTGTGGCTCAGCTCACTGGACAGCTGGAGAGTGAGAAGAACCGAACACTCTTGCTCAGCCAGGAGTTGGAGGTGACTCAACAGAAGCTCACTGGACAGCTGGAGAGAGAGTAGAACCGAACACTCTTGCTCAGCCAGGAGTTGGAGGTGATTCATCAGAAGCTGACCAGGCAAAGGGCTCTCAAGGAAGTGTACATTAACAAAGGGAAGGAGCTCAAAAAGGAGCTGCAGATGCTTCAAAAGTACAGCTCACAGGAGACCCTCTCCAAACACAGAATTGCTCTTAAGGTGAGGGACACGAGCCGGCAGAAGAAGAAGAAGGATCTTCATGTCGATTACGAGGAGCTGAAGGTGGCACATATTGTGGAAAATGAGAGGCTCACAACACAAGTCCAGGAACTGACTGAAAGAAACACGGTCCTCCATGAAGAACAGGAGAAGACAAGAACCTCATACCAAGCACTGAAATTCCAGTATGCAACTGATCTCACTGCTGCGAAACAGGAAGTTGAGACCCTTCAGCGTGAGCTGCAAAATCAGGCTCACCATGATGGACTCTTACAGGAACAGACCATCCAGATCCTGAGAGCCGAACAGGACTCCATGACGGAGAAGATTGCTGTTCTGCAGCAGGCAGCTTTTGAAACAGAGAGGAGGCACTGGGCTGAGCTGGAGGAGCTGAAACAACAGCTCTACATCCAGACAGCCGGTATGATGGACAACAAGGAGTTTAAAGTGGCCCAAGAAACCAGCTTTAACAATGAAAAAAACAAAAAAACAAATGAACTCTCAACTGAGCTTCAACTTCGAGAGACAGGCATCAGGCAAAGTGAGATGACGCTTCAGGAGCAGGACTTCATGGACATGGACATCGAGCAGTTTTGCATGGAGTTGGAGAAAACTGCAGAAACTTCTGGAGCTGAAGAACTGGCAGGAGCTTTAGAAATCGAAGTGACTGCTGGATCTCCAGAACTAGTTGGAACAGCAGGACCAGCAGAGACACCAACCTCTAATGCCACCAAACCACCTTCTTCAGTCTGGAAACAAACAAGACACTTCTTGGGGTTAAGAAAGCCTGAGAAGTGGAAGAAGAAGTAACTTCCTCGAAGTAAGGAAGTACTTTAAAAAAAAAAAAAAAACTCTTCAAAAAGAGATCTCAAAAAAAAAAAAAAATAAAGAAAGAAAACCAAAAAAAAAAAATCAATCAATCAATCAACTTTATTTCTATAGCACATTTAAAAGAACCACAAGGGTAGCCAAAGTGCTGTACAGTGACACATAAAAACAAATAAAACAATCAAAGAACAAGATAAAGCAAGCAGAAATACAGTAATGCAAAAGAATAAAGAAGTGTATAAATAAGGAGGCTCACGGCAAGTGCTAAGATGATAAAAAACAAATTAACACTACAATGTACTAAAAGATTAGATTAGATTAGTGACGACCTCTTTAAGGTAGGGTGAGAGGGAGCCTAGGTCGAAAACCCTTAAAACAGGCAGAAAAAAGAGAAAACTAAAAAAAAGAAAAAGAAGAGTATTTCTGAAAACAAAAAAAAAACAACAACAAAAAAACACCCTAAGAAAACTAAAAAACAAAAAAGAAATATTTCTGATTCTTGGGGTTAAGAAAGCCTGAGAAGTGGAAGAAGTAACTTCCCCGAAGTAAGGAAGTACTTAAAAAAAAAAAAACTCTTCAAAAAGAAATCTCCAAAAACAAAAATAAATTAAGACAACTGATGAAAAAAAAAAAAAGAAAAAAAAAAACATCAACATGGGAAAAAAAAAAAAAAACCACTGGAAAGAAAATTAAAAAACAACAAACAAAAGCACCCATAACCCGGTGTTTTTCACACAAAAGATAAAATAAACCTTGCGGTTTTCCGTCCCATGGGAGGGTTTTTATCCCCCTCCTCGAGCTACCACCTTACCGTGGTGGAGGGGTTTGTGTGTCCCAATGAGAGTTAATTCTGATTTACTCTTGCTGTTGTCAAAAAGTGCTAAAATTTCTCTGAATTTCGCATGTTATGTAGGCCCATGTCAGTTTTAATCCTTGCAGGACTCTTGTTTTCACTTTTCATCAGTTGAGGAAAAGCTTTTGGATTACTGATTAATATAGAGTTCAGGGGAAAGTATATCTGCAATGTATAATCAATAATGACTTTATCTTCATGAGTAAATATGATTTGTACATTTAAAGAGAACTATTTTTTAATTTTGGTTCAACAATGGACAGAAGTAGACAGGCAAGATGGCGTCTGTAAAGTTCAGTTTAACAGCTGGTGTGTCATACTAAGTTTTCTTATTTAACCCATCAATACATATCAATTCATAAAGCATCTATTACAAAAACAGCTCAAATCAATGTGGGTTAACAGCAGGTTTGAAAAATACATGATTGTTATAGGGTGTGCTTTTTTTTACATTTAAATGTGAAAAATTCAAATGTAAACAAACAACAAGAGAATATGGCATCAAAGGAACAATTCCGTGATGACATCATTATGACATCATCACGGCTTTCAACTCGTGTTACTAACTGGAAGTAGAGCAGCTGTCCAGGGTATCGTTTGAACCTTTCAGCGAGTAGCTACACTTAAAGAAAGAGACAATCGAAATCTTAAAAGTGAAACATAGACCTACTGGTTAAAACGTGGAAGAAAGCGAAAAGCAAAGATGGAAAACATGTCCGAGGAAACCCACGGCGAAATGACGGATCCACAGCACGTCCACCTAAGGTAAGGAGAAAAAAAACGGTTCAAGGGGTCCCTGTGTGAAGGTGTTTCTATAAAACCGTGCCTCAACCTTTTTCTTTCTGCTCCTTTTCATTCACATGAAAATTTTTCCTTGTTTGTATTGAATGTGTCATATACTAACAGACTGAAATAAAGTATGTACACAGCGCCCTAACTTTATTGAAATGAAGTCATGTGTTTGGAGGTTAAGGCTCTGTTTGTGTAGATACCAACAGTTTGGGTCGGGTCAGAACTGCTGACATTCATACAGCTCATTCAGACGACTCAGAGAATGAGAGTATTTGGAATTTTCCAATATTTATCATGTCTCAGATTTGTGCACATCAGTTTGTGAATGACAGATATTGTATAGAAAGACTTAGCTTTCAGACCCTTTACAACAAGATCTTCAGTGCTTCTCATCTTTTTCTTTTAGCTTCCCATCTGAAAGCTCTGTGGAGGAAATGGCTCAAGACAGACCAGATCAAGATGAGACAGAGAAAACGGAGATTGATAACAGCATCATACAGAGACTTCAAGACAGACCAGATCAAGATGAGACAGAGAAAACAGAGATTGATAACCGCATCATACAGAGACTTCAATCTGGCTGGATAGGCACTCTTCATGTCGTTTTCCTGGTGCTCCTTTTAGTCCTAATCACTGTCATTGTTGGCCTGAGCATCAATGTTAAGCAGTTACAGAAAGAAAGGAGTCAGCTGAGACAGCTTCTAGAATCAACACACATGGGACTGAACCACACCATGGAAGTAAATCAAAAAGTGAGCCAGAGTCTGAACTTCACCGTGGAAGAAAATCAAAAACTGAGGCTGAGTCTGAACTACACCATGGAGGAGAATCTGAACCTGAGCCTGAGTCTGAACAACACCATGGAAGAAAATCAGAAATTGAGCAGAAGACTAAACTACACCATGGAAGAAAATCAGAAATTGAGCCTGAGTCTGAACTACACCATGGAAGAGAATCTGAACCTGAGCCTGAGTCTGAACAACACCATGGAAGAAAATCAAAAACTCAGGCTGTGTCTGAACTACACCATGGAAGAGAATCTGAACCTGAGCCTGAGTCTGAACAACACCATGGAAGAAAATCAGAAATTGAGCAGAAGACTAAACTACACCATGGAAGATAATAAGAAATTGAGCCTGAGTCTGAACTACACCATGGAAGATAATCTGAAACTGAGCCGAAGACTAAACCACACCAAGGAAGAAAATCAAAAACTGAGCCTGAGTCTGAGCTACTCCATGGAAGAAAATCAGAGACTGAGCCGAAGACTAAACCACACCATGGAAGTAAATCAAAAAGTGAGCCAGAGTCTGAACTTCACCGTGGAAGAAAATCAAAAACTGAGGCTGAGTCTGAACTACACCATGGAGGAGAATCTGAACCTGAGCCTGAGTCTGAACAACACCATGGAAGAAAATCAGAAATTGAGCAGAAGACTAAACTACACCATGGAAGAAAATCAGAAATTGAGCCTGAGTCTGAACTACACCATGGAAGAGAATCTGAACCTAAGCCTGGGTCTGAACAACACCATGGAAGAAAATCAAAAACTGAGGCTGAGTCTGAACTACACCATGGAAGAGAATCTGAACCTGAGCCTGAGTCTGAACAACACCATGGAAGAAAATCAGAAATTGAGCAGAAGACTAAACTACACCATGGAAGATAATCAGAAATTGAGCCTGAGTCTGAACTACACCATGGAAGATAATCTGAAACTGAGCCGAAGACTAAACCACACCAAGGAAGAAAATCAAAAACTGAGCCTGAGTCTGAGCTACTCCATGGAAGAAAATCAGAGACTGAGCCGAAGACTAAACCACACCATGGAAGAAAATCAGAAATTGAGCCAGAGTCTGAACTTCACCGTGGAAGAAAATCAAAAACTGAGGCTGAGTCTGAACTACACCATGGAGGAGAATCTGAACCTGAGCCTGAGTCTGAACAACACCATGGAAGAAAATCAGAAATTGAGCAGAAGACTAAACTACACCATGGAAGAGAATCTGAATCTGAGCCAAAGATTAAACCACACCAAGGAAGAAAATCAAAAACTGAGGCTGAGTCTGAACTACACCATGGAAGAGAATCTGAACCTGAGCCTGAGTCTGAACAGCACCAAGGAAGAAAATCAAAAACTGAGCCTGAGTCTGAGCTACTCCATGGAAGAAAATCAGAGACTGAGCCGAAGACTAAACCACACCATGGCAGAAAAGTCACAGCTTCAAGTGCAGATTGAGGAGATGAAAATCATATTGAATTCTACTATGGAAAACCGTGACTCTTTCAGAAAAGACAAAATCAAATATCAACAGCTTTTGATCAATGAAAGGCAGACCTCAACTCAACTAAAAGCTGAAAATCAACGTCAACAATCAATTCTGATGTCGGAGAAACTATCTTTCCTCTGGAGATTCTGTGATAAAGGCACCCTGCAATGTTCACGCTGCCCTCCTGGTTGGGCTGAGCACGCCACACGCTGCTTCCATTTGGCATCACAACCAATGAAGTGGGAAGATGCTCGTAGGGAGTGTTTTAATGAAGGTGCTGACCTGGCTGTTGTCTTGAATGCTGCAGACCAGGCATTTCTGACCAACATGACTTTCCAGTTTACACAGCAGCATCCAAATGTACTGTTCCATTCAGCATGGATCGGGTTGCAGGACATGGTGCAGGATAACAGATTTGTGTGGGTAAATGGTATCAAGTCCAAGTCAGATTTGAAGTTCTGGATGCCTGGAGAGCCAAACAATGCTGTGGCTCAATGGGACAAAGACCGTGCAGGACAGGACTGTGTTGTCATTGTCCCTCCAAAGACTGTTGGACAGAAAGGCTGGCTGAACTCCTGGGATGATATTGTCTGTCGAGGCCAGCGGCACTACATTTGTGAAACCAAAGCTCTTATTTTGTCTGGAGTGAAAACTGAGGAATGATGAGTTTATAACAATTTAGAATAAGTATGAATTAATGTGAAATAAATGTTCTTTATTTTGATAATGATATGGTATTATTATTTGGATTTTAATGTGGCCTATATAATAGACAGTTTTTTGTTCTTTTTTTAGTCATATCTATCTATCTATCTATCTATCTATCTATCTATCTATCTATCTATCTATCTATCTATCACAGAATGGAGATGACATGGATTAAGGTGAAGTCAGTTGCAAGTTCAACATTTGTTAAAAAAAAAAAAAAGAACAATATGACTGGAATGAGCGTTTAATCAAATAAATGTGAACAGAAACATTTTTAGGGCAGAAAAACATTATCACGAGACTTTTGGATTTCTGTCCTGCAGTTATGGAAGAATATGAGGTAACACCGGGAAATAAACCTCTGTTCATCCCATGGTGGAGAAATTTATATTAATTTATATAATAAGGCATTGTTATGTATTTAAGACAGCTATTTTTGTCAGAATTGATATTGAATGGTAGCAGAGTACAGGAACAATAGAAACCTTGTCATATTGAAAAGTGTTTGCAGTTATTTGGGACAGGTAAAAATGTGTGATCTTTCAAAACACAAACTCATTTTTTAGCGAAGAGAGGGTCATACTTTTTGCTCTTTTGAAAAGGACTGAATCCAATTTGAACTCCTTAGCTGGCAGGCTGACACTACTCTGGCCTTCCAAGGGAGGGCAGCATCTCCCCTTCAGCTGTTTCATCACAGCTGTAGTTATTCACATTTCCACCATTTGACTTTCAGTTTCGCTCAACATAACGTTTTCAGCAAAAATAAAAAATAAAAAAAGAGGGCATATATTCTTACTCTACACTCATAGATAGTATATATATATATAGGCCTACAGTCTATGGCAGTGGTTCTCAACTGGTCTCACTCTGGGACCCACACTTTTTTATGGTCCTTATGTGGCAACCCACTTTTATAAAATTCAAACAAGGCAAATTTATTTTTTATAAAAAACGAACCTTTACAGACTCAAATCTTTGACATAAATACTCCTATTTTGTTGAATAAAGTGCATTTCAGAGCACATGAACTGAGGGCGACAACTACTTAAGTTTCGTATACAGAAAATATCAAATATCAAATTGCACACAATGGAGACAAGCAAAATGAAATATTTGACTTATTTGCATCTCTGCGTTCAGAGCATATTCAGAAGAACACGAGGAGGACCGAGCAACAGCATTGACAAAAGTGAATAAATATCAAATTGCACAAAATAAAGACCATGAAAAACGTGTAATTTTACTGCATTCAGGCCACATTAATAAGAAACCGAGGAGGACCATGACATGATGCGTGCCTTTCAAAATAAGCTATTTTACAAAATAAAAAAACATGTCAAACATCAGATGCGTATTAAATATTTACTTTTTTGATCAGCTGTTCACGACCCATCCAGAACGTGTCTGGGACCCACTTTTGGGTCGGGACCCACCAGTTGAGAACCACTGTTCTATGGTTACGCCACACAATCTCATTCCGTTTACAGTACATGCTGAAGTCCCGCCCATACCGGAACAGGATTGGTCCCCTCTGCTGTTGGCGCTTCCCATCAGCTTCTATGATTGGATATATTCATTTTGGACTGCGGCTGTTACGTCATTATTTCCAACCGTGTAAGGTGTTAAATTTCAAATCTACTCATTGTGGCTGGAGCATGGTGCTGGTGCAGGTAATGCTCTGTCATTTCACTGAAAAATGCGAGATTGTTATCCTAAATAAACACGAACCAACCAAAGAAAAGGAAAGAACCACCACACGAAGCATTGCGACTTAATCATCAGGCAGGTTGAATTTTACACCCCTCTCACCCCCTAAATAAGAGACCATATTCATCTGCTGTTTCGTCTCCTTTAATCGCTTTTCATCAGGATGTCGGTACTCTCGTTAGTGCTACTGCTGCTATACCAACATACAGCAACTGTCTCAAATGGTTTGTTTTGATTTTCCTTTCTGTTCAGAACTTCGCCTATTTATTTGTATAACTTTTATATTTTGCTGTGTTTTGTTTGCACCTGATAGGAATGCCTCCCATTTCATTGTACATTTACAATAACAATATCAAGCTAGGGCCCCGGTGGGGCACTGGCGGGCCCGAGCCGTGTCGCGCCGCCCCCAGCGCGACCGCCTACCCCTACCGATCGCGTCACACTCAAGGTCCAAAGATGGTGTGCGCACTTGTCTGTGGTCATTTACCATTATAATGAATGGGAGGCGCAGTTTCTACCAAATTGCTCGCTGCAGACAAACTCCATGTCCTTTTTGAAAAAAGTCTGGACCATGAGTGAGGGCACAAACACAGCTAGTACATATCCAAATGGCAAGTTGCTCCTCCTTTCGGTTTTGCCGAGAGAGCAATGCGTTTGAGCCATTGAGCGATGGGCAGGAAAAACTTGACTTTTTTCTCCTGCCATGGGGGGGCGCTCTTTTGGGGAGAAAAAATTCCTTCACAAATGTGTTGATGGCTGGACATTGCATCATCCTAGAGAACTTGGAGGCCAGTGAGGAGAAAAATAAAAAGTTATAAGACTTTTAAGAATGTGGATTTTTGGGTTATCTTTGGCGCCCCCTAGAACCTAAACCGCGGGGTGTAGCATCATGATTTGTACAACTTTTAATGGCCATGGGGTGTAGATTGGCCTGAGCAAATGTGGTGCCGGTGGAACGAAAGCCTTCGGAGGAGTTAGCGAAATTCCAATGTGTGCGGATCGGCAAAAAATGCGAAATAACCCTTTAACCGTACATTTGACAGATATGCCCGCACTGACTTTTTTGTAGATCTTATTGAGATACATGTGTGTGTCAAATTTTGTGTCAATATGACAAAGCGTACAGGCGTGACACTCAATCATGTGAATTTTTCACATTAGGGGGTGCTATGGAGCCATTTTGCATTTGATTGTTTGGGCGACTTCAGAATATCGAATTTTTCACCAGGCCCGGTCGTCCTGCCAAATTTCATGAGTTTTCGCCAGTGGGAAGTGGGCCATTTTCCAGTTCAAAGGGGCAGAAAAATAACTAGGGCCCCGATGGGGCACTGGCGGGCCCGAGCCGTGTCGCGCCGCCCCCAGCGCGACCTCCTCCCCCTCCCGATCGCGTCACACTCAAGGTCCAAAGATGGTGTGCGCACTTGTCTGTGGTCATTTACCATTATAATGAATGGGAGGCGCAGTTTCTACCAAAACGCTCACTGCAGACAAACTCCATGTCCTATTTGAAAAAAGTCTGGAACATGAGTGAGGGCACAAACACAGCTAAGATATATCCAAATGGCAAGTTGCTCCTCCTTTCGGTTTTGCCGAGAGAGCAATGCGTTTGAGCCATTGAGCGATGGGCAGGAAAAACTTGACTTTTTTCTCCTGCCATGGGGGGGCGCTCTTTTGGGGAGAAAAAATTCCTTCACAAATGTGTTGATGGCTGGACATTGCATCATCCTAGAGAACTTGGAGGCCAGTGAGGAGAAAAATAAAAAGTTATAAGACTTTTAAGAATGTGGATTTTTGGGTTATCTTTGGCGCCCCCTAGAACCTAAACCGCGGGGTGTAGCATCATGATTTGTACAACTTTTAATGGCCATGGGGTGTAGATTGGCCTGAGCAAATGTGGTGCCGGTGGAACGAAAGCCTTCGGAGGAGTTAGCGAAATTCCAATGTGTGCGGATCGGCAAAAAATGCGAAATAACCCTTTAACCGTACATTTGACAGATATGCCCGCACTGACTTTTTTGTAGATCTTATTGAGATACATGTGTGTGTCAAATTTTGTGTCAATATGACAAAGCGTACAGGCGTGACACTCAATCATGTGAATTTTTCACATTAGGGGGTGCTATGGAGCCATTTTGCATTTGATTGTTTGGGCGACTTCAGAATATCGAATTTTTCACCAGGCCCGGTCGTCCTGCCAAATTTCATGAGTTTTCGCCAGTGGGAAGTGGGCCATTTTCCAGTTCAAAGGGGCAGAAAAATAACTAGGGCCCCGATGGGGCACTGGCGGGCCCGAGCCGTGTCGCGCCGCCCCCAGCGCGACCTCCTCCCCCTCCCGATCGCGTCACACTCAAGGTCCAAAGATGGTGTGCGCACTTGTCTGTGGTCATTTACCATTATAATGAATGGGAGGCGCAGTTTCTACCAAAACGCTCACTGCAGACAAACTCCATGTCCTATTTGAAAAAAGTCTGGAACATGAGTGAGGGCACAAACACAGCTAAGATATATCCAAATGGCAAGTTGCTCCTCCTTTCGGTTTTGCCGAGAGAGCGATGCGTTTAAGCCATTGAGCGATGGGCAGGAACAACTTGACTTTTTCTCCGGCCATGGGGGGGCGCTCTTTTTCACAAATGTGTTGATGGCTGGACATTGCATCATCCTAGAAAACTTGGAGGCCAGTGAGGACAAAAATAAAAAGTTATAAGACTTTTAAGACTGTGGATTTTTGGGTTATCTTTGGCGCCCCCTAGAACCTAAACTGTGGGGTGCAGCGTCATGATTTGTACAACTTTGAATGGCCATGGGGTGTAGATTGGCCTGAGCAAATGTGGTGCCGGTGGAACGAAAGCCTTCGGAGGAGTTAGCGAAATTCCAATGTGTGCGGATCGGCAAAAAATGCGAAATAACCCTTTAACCGTACATTTGACAGATATGCCCGCACTGACTTTTTTGTAGATCTTATTGAGATACATGTGTGTGTCAAATTTTGTGTCAATATGACAAAGCGTACAGGCGTGACAGTCAATGGTGTGAATTTTCACCTTAGGGGGCGCTATGGAGCCATTTTGCATTTTATTGTTTGAGCGACTTCAGAATATCGAATTTTTCACCAGGCCCGGTCGTCCTGCCAAATTTCCTGAGTTTTCGCCAGTGGGAAGTGGGCCATTTTCCAGTTTAAAGCGGAGGAAAAATAACTAGGGCCCCGGTGGGGCACTGTCGGGCCCGAGCCGCGTCGCGCCGCCCCCAGC